ACATTTGCACAACTATTAAGAAACTACTGTTTTAGTTCAACACTGTTATATTTTAGATCTTCTTGTGTTCAGAGTTGAGCTAGAACTCAAACAATTAGACCCATTAAACCAAGATTGTTCCAAATTATTCAAAATAATCTCTTCACAACATTAATTTGTCTCTGAAATATTTTAATACTATGAAGAAACCTGTTAATGACACTCTTAAATGAAAGTTTATCAGAGTATCACAAAACTGTGCCGCAGCATGGGGATGTTCTGGGTTAGAAAACAGAAGAAAAAAGTATTTTTTTGAACATCTCCTACTAGTCTTAATGTGAAGTAAGTTTATAGAAATCCAGGTCCATGAATCTGTAAACTTATGTTTATAATTTTTATGATATGTATTTTTTTGTGAAAATAGACTACAGATTTCAATTAATTTTCTATTGAATCCATAATAGCATAAGACTTGCAAACACTACATTAATTTTGAGGCCAGGTGTTTCACATATATCAATGCTGCCTTCTTTTTTTCATGACTTTATACTAAATGACCCCTAAAACAATTTAAGTTTAATTTGTAAGAACAAAATTGGTGATACTAAATCTCAGATAGGAGATCTATTTCATTGCACTGGGTGATGTGGTGTCGTTTTCCAAACATTGAAGTATTTGTAATTTAGTTTCTTCTTCATAGCTAAACTCACCTCCTGATTTCTCAAAGCATAGATAAGTGGATTTAGAAAAGGGGTGAAAATGGTATAGAAAACAGAGAGAACTTTGTCCACAAGGAAATTTGTGAAAGGCCATATATAGATGAATATGCAGGGCCCAAAGAACATGAATACAACTATGAAGTGTGCCGTGCAGGTAGAAAGAGCCTTGGATGATCCTTTGGAAGAGTGGTTCTTGATAGTGACAAGAATAATGATGTAGGAGACGAGCAAAAGCAGAAAACTTACAAGAGCAATCACACCACTAGTTGAAATCATGAAGATCCCAAGAACATAAATATCTATACAAGCCAGCTGGATGACCAATGGAAGATCACAGAAGAAACTGTCTACAACATTGGGGCCACAGAAGGGCAAGTAGAGGGTAAAAGCTAACTGGCTTATCGTATGCAGAAATCCTACTGTCCAAGAAGTTACTACCAGCCCAACACAAACTCTTGGGCTCATAATTGTTGAATAGTGAAGAGGTTTGCATATGGCCACGTACCTGTCAAAAGACATAGAGATAAGCAGCCCAATCTCAGTTCCAGTAAAGAGGTGCAAAAAGAAGATCTGTGTAATGCAGCCCTCAAAGGAGATGGTCTTGTGCTGAGCAAAGAAGTCCATGATCGTCTTTGGAGTAGCAAAGGAGGACAGACACATGTCAATAAGAGATAAGTTGCTCAGAAGGACATACATGGGAGAATGGAGGTGTGGACTGGATATGACCGTAAACAAAATCAGGCAATTTCCCAACATGGTCATTAAGTAGAAAATGGAAAACACCACAAAGAAAAAAATCTGGAGCTCAGGGGAATCAGTAAGTCCAAGTAACACGAACTCAGACACTCTGGAGTGATTGAAGTCCTCCATTGATCTGCAGAGTCTGCTCTATAATCTTATGAGAAACAAAATGACAGAACTGGGAAAATATAATACTTTTGCAACTATATGTGAAGGAATAATAATATCACTTAGTAATTTACTAGAATAAGGTGTCTGTAAGTTAACTAATAATTCTTTCAATGGCAATTTTTCTTTTCCAATTAACTTAACAATAGCTGTCATCTATATCTTTAAAAGGAAAATCTCATGTTTTGACCAGGAGCATCAGTACATGTTGTAATGTATGCAATACATACCCACACAGCAATAAGTATTATGCTTCTGAATACTAAGGAGTTACATTAGCCACATTTAGAGAGGTAGATTGCATTAAGATCTGTGCTCTACTATATAAGGAAAGAAACCAAAATTAAAAAAGAATTGAAATAACACAAGTTTCTGTTACACATACACATTAAAAAAAGGCCATTGTTTTCAACGGATTACAATTAGACACTTCATTTACCAATTCATATTTAATGTAAAGATTTTAGAAGACCCATTTAATATCCTAAAAGGATTATAAGATATTTTATTTTTAATTTCATAATTCCATAAAATTAATCAGCACCAAAAGAGGTTACCCCAAAATGAAAGTTATTATCAGCTTTTGTTATTTGATGATTTCATATAAATACTTTTTAAAAAGAGATTATATCTTCTTTGATTCTCTTCATGCTGCTCACTTCCTATATGTATTAACACCATAGCTTTATATGATAAGGACTGGACTGTGAACTCCAAGGTTCATGGTTTGAGCCTGCCAGATGTTCCATTTAAGAAAGATGAGGTTTTCTGCTCATGGAAAGATTTAAAGACTCAGAAACACTATACAAGGTTGATATAGGTGAAACTGACTTCATGGTACTTCTCAACAACAACAATATATATATTGCTGGGGCAGGGAGAGGGAGAGTGAGAGAGAGTGAGCTAGAGAGTGTGTCCTGGTGTGGCGCTGTGGGCTAATGCACTGGACTACAGTCGGCTTGAACCACAAATTTGGCAGATTAAATTTATCAGTTGTTCCTTGGAAACCCTACA